TTGTTCACCTCCCTTTGGTGAGTCTAAGATGTGGACGTTCCATAGATCGTCCATTCCTTCCCGTTCTTCCACCACGATCCCGGCGCGAATCCGTTCTAAAGGACGAGTTGAATCGTCCTTACGACCTCCCCCTTGGTTGGCCGTCCCTCTTCCTCGAGTTGAATCGGCCTTGGAAGCTCTTTCTGAGCTTCCTTGATCCTCCACTGGACGTTCTAACGATTCTGGGTTAGGGCAGTCCTTTGCCCAGTGTTCCTTTCGTCCACAACGCATGCAGAGCTCCTGCCTTCGTCTCCTCCACTTCTCCGCTCTTTCCTCAGGAGTCCATTTCCTCCCAGTGTCGGTAACTCCTGCTCGGAGGACCGCTTCAGTCCATTCTCCTCCATCCCTGCAGTGACAGCAGTCCTCGTCCTCCTCTCGGTTATCTCTATCGTAACTTTCTCCTTCCCCCCAAGCTGCAGACGCCCTTTGTCGTCCCTCTTTCCAGTTGGACCTGTTTGGGAACCTCCCTGTCGCTGCTGGTTTCGGATTGGAGGTCCAGACATCAGCTGGATCTCGTTCCCGACGCAAGGGGGACTTGTAAGGAGCTTCCGGTGCTAACTCCAATCCGGGGAAACGACTCAGCCATCCTTGCAGTGCTTTTTCACCGTGGAGGTTCCTCAAACTCTCCGCTTGCGCACGTACAGCCCCGTCCAACTTCGTGAACACTCGGGTCCACTCGTCGTAGGATCGAGGTTCCTCCCTTCCGGTAACAACCTGTAGAGGCAACCAAGGAGCTACCCCTTTCTTGAGGTATGTTACTAGAGCCTCGTCGTTAAATCCGGTCAGGGGAGCGTATTCGTTGAAGCGAATGAAGAAGTTGGCGAAGCTTTCCTCCGGCATCTGCTTCATCCAGGCCAATCTCCTCCTTGCCTCGTCCGCCTCGTCAATGGGTCCGAATTTGGAGCCGAATTCTCGTTTGAACTCTGTCCAGTCTTCGAGGCAGGTGTACTCCCCCCTCAGTCGTTGCCGATTCAACGTGTCGAAGTGGGAGAGTGCTGCACCAGTGAGATGACTAGCTGCGGAAGCGCACTTGTCCTTTTCCCGAGCATAAATGGTAGGACGCACTCCAAACATCCTTTCCAAACTGAGGACCCACGTCTTCCATGCAGACCGGTCGTCACCTGCGAAGCTTTCGATCTTACCGACGTCGAGCTTCGACTCAATGGTAATCCGATTTTTTTCTTCGTTGCTCTCCCACGTACTTCGTCCCTCGTTGGGAGGTCTAGGAGCTGCCTTACGATGCCAACCTTGTCTTGGATCGTAGTACCAGGGTTGGTCCGGGTCATAGCGTGTTGGAGGTACGTCAGGAGCTCCAGTGGGGAGCTCTCCTCTGTCTTCCTCTCTCCTTCCACCATTCCTACTCGATTGGTTCTGTTCCCCCTCGTTGGAACCTTCCGAATTACTATCACCCGGTCCCCCGGAAGGTGGTGGAGGAGGAGGAGGCGGAGGTGGTGCCCCTCCCCCGCTCCTTCCTCCCTGTTCTCTTTGACCCTGTCCCCCTTGACTCGGAGGTCGTTCTCGATCTCTCGATTGACTAGAAAAATGTGGGGGAGGTACTCTAGGAGGGGGGTTAAAACCGCCTTTGCCTTCTCCCTCATTTTCCAACGCGTACGCTCCTCCTTCTGGTCTCCCATACTCCCCTAGTTCAGCTCTTTGCACTCGGGCTCCCCACTCGTGAATACGTCGTCGGTCCACACTCGGAGTATCCGGGATCTGTCCTGCTTGTTCTACCTGGGGGTTTCCACCCCTAGCTCCTGTAGGAGTGTTTCGGTTAAAGGATATTGGTTCCGTAGCGTGCCAGCTCCTTGGCTGGGGAACTACAGGAGAAGGACCCCCCCTCGTATATTCTCTCATTACCCTAGGTGCTCGCCCGGATAATCCCGCCGTGTTTCCTGTTTTGGAAAGGGGTCCTCCAGTCGGTACTTCCCCCTCTGTGAATCCTTTCTTTACCTCACGGAGTTGTTCCTGGAGCGTCTCAATGACCCGAGCCTGTTGTTGGATCATTGCTACCGATTCCTGAGAGCGTGCCGACTCGAAAGCCATGCCAGGTCGGTTCGTCTGAGCTCCCGTTACAAAGGGAGTTCCAAAAGGAGCTCCCTGCGGGGGTACCGCCTCTTCGTGAACTGCCAACGTTCTTCGTTGGTTCGGACCCCTTTGACTTTCCGTTCCCACTGCCTGAGATTGCATCGATACCGACCCTTGATACGGAATGACTGATGGATTGCTCAGTCTTGGAGGAACGTGTACAGGGTTGGGAGCCAGCCGAGCTGTCAGATCTTGTCCGGAGATCCGGGATGAATGTTGTGCGCCATCCATCCTCACCTCACCAAACTGGTATCGCTGCGTCGAGACTGGGGTTAAAGGTTTCGTTTGCAGGTTAACTCTGGGGGGAGGAGTCGCATTTTGAGCCAAGGCATGTACAGTGGGGGAGGTCCCGGAGCGTAGCTGGGGGCTCCTCGTGGCCGTGTTACCGGGGTTAAGGAGTTCAGGAACCTCGGTATTCCTGGGCGATGAATGTTTCTGTGCCAGGAAACGACCATCAGATCCATGGAGCTGCCCTTTCTGGTCAAATTGCTCCGGAGGGAACTCCCCTACGCTTTCGAGTTCGCATTGAACCATATACGAGGTTCCCCGATTATCCGCGACCAGTCTGCGACGGAATTCCAAAGCTCTTTCTAGATTCGATCCAGAAAGTTCCTCCGACAGCATCAGAGTGTCTGATTCCGCTAGTAGCGTCCGATGTCGGGTCTCCTGCGAACACAACATCGCTTCAGACTCCTCACTCCTCACCAGAAGCTGGTGCATATGCCTCATGGGCGTGTACGTGTATACCGTCTGTCCGTTACGGACCCGGACGGGACTATCCTGATCAGGCATTGACTCCACTGGGGCCAGGAGGTGAGCCGTGGTGTACCTCCTGCGTCTACGATTTTTTGCAGCGATTGCGTTAGCATCCTCGTTACTTTCCTCATCGATTTTAGCTGCTGCTTCCGCTAGGTTTGCGTTCCGAAGTATTTGGATCGCCTGGTAGTTCGGTATGTTCACCCTCGAAGGGGGAGGTTCAAACCGTACGGCTCCTGATCTGTAGTTAGAGGCTCGGTACAATATACGTAGCCCTGCTTCGCCACAGAATTCCTTCTCCCTTCCATGGGTATGAGGGAGGAGGGGAAGTATTCCCCTCGAGTTTCGGAACGATCGTCCGTAACGTGCCTCTGCCTCTAACAGTTCCAACATCCTCTCTGGGTCCAACAGGACGTTGTACAGCCAGAGAAAATCTGATCGATTCGCGGGGGTCATCAGCCACTGCTGGGCCTTCTCTGGGAGGTCTATCTCCAATTGAGTTCCCACTGTTAGGAACTGTACTCGTAGGTCTGAGAATTCGAGACCGTCTCCCAATACTTCGATCCCCATTGACTCCAATACCTCCCTTAGGACCATAGCTACATCTTCCGGGATACACTCCTGAATTCGAATGACGTCTTCCAGACGCAATGTCATTTCGGACAAGGGTTGTACGGGGAAGTTGGTCCTGCTATGGTGTATTGCGTGCGTACGCTCCCAGTTGGGCGTATTCATAGCTGGGCTCTTCAGGAGACTGGAGAGTGAACTTCCTCGTCTCGGGGGAGGAAGGTTCAGGGACTGTACTGGAGGTGTTGGTAACCTCCGGGATGACGTTCGAGATTGTTCGGATACGGCAGGGGATACCCTCCTCTCTGGAAGTTTCTCCTGTTGTCGTACTGTGAGAGGGTCAGTACTCCCCCCTTGTACCCTTTCGATAGCGGCTACTTGACCGCTGACTCTTCCACCCGCGTTCGAAGCTGACTCCATGTCTAGCTGCGGTATCGGTCCAGGGGGAGGTCCTCTCGTTCCCCAGGTAGGGGAGTATGCGAAACCTCCCATGGGACTACTGGCAGGTTGGGCGTAACCCATGGAGGTAAACCTCCGTTGTGGTGGTCCCATCCCAGGTTCCACTGGAGGGGGCCCCTGAACCTCCGGTTGACGTCCCTCTGGGGTCCGGATGTTGCTGGCGGTTTCATCCCCGAACGACTGTTCTGGGATGGACATCAGGCGTTGACCAGCTGCCACCGTGATGACAGTGGAGCTAGCAGCCGGGTTTGATTTTTGAGCTTGTGTCGTGTTTCCACGAGATAAGGCGCTCTTTTGTTTCTTTGATTCGGTCTTGGAACTAGAAGGTCGTTCCGTTGACGTCGCCGACATTTCGTCGCGACGAGTCCGTTCGGTGACGGGAGAGCTTGGTATAATGTAAGACCTGGGTCAAAATAGGTCTTAGGGTAGGTTTTGGTATGTGGAGGTTTGTGTTGTAGCGTGCTAGGAGCAGGCTGGAGCTCGAAGGGAGCTACGAGAACCGCGACCGAGGACGGGAATGACCTAGTAGTGGTTGGAACGACGAGATGGTGACCCTTGAGGGGTTCCTAGGAGGTCCAGGGAGGTCCCTAATGCGTAGGGAGGTTCGGGACGAATGCGGGACCGTAAGATATTGCGTAGTAGGAGTTGTACTCGCTAGAACGTCAATATAGAGTCGAGTAGGTAGTTTATGCAACGGGGTCTCGAGGGTGTAAGCTCCCGAGAAGGGATATGCCAGGGAGGGTAGGTCCCTGGGGACTAGGTTTGAGGATGGTCGTCCTCGAGTGTGGGAGGTGGTAACGGAGAAGCAATACGTAGTTCGACGTGAGGGGTAGCTTCGACGTTACCTAGATCGAAGTCCCGAAGCTTACGAAGTAGCTAGGGAGCTCTGGAAGGTTTGGGGAAGAGTAGCTCACCAAGCGGGTAGGCGTTGGGGAGCTTTAGTAATGTTCGAGGGAGCTCGGGGACTCACTCGGCAGGCTTAGACTTGAAGTAAAAGCGTATATTCGATCGTACAGACGATCAGAGAGACAATAGACAGAAGTAGAGAGGAACAGAGGTAGAGAAACAGAGAGTAAAGAGAAATCCGTATGGTTAGCAGGTACAAAGGGACAGGGACTGGACCTATGCAAAAGGGTGTGTGTTCAAAATATACCAAGCTGGCGCTTGGAGACGTTACGGAGCTACTTAAATAGGTATGGGAAGTGAACAAGGGAACATCGGAACCTAGGGACATGAGGCAGTAGTCGAAGGAGACAGGTGATCGAGATTTGTACTTAATGGGGCTGGTGCTAAGGAGTTTCGTACGCGTGTCGGGAGGTTGTCAGGATAGTCTTGGGGAGGTGCGTATTACCCGTGGTCCTGTCTTGGGGAGGTGCGTAGTACCCGTGGTCCTGTCTTGGGGAGGTCGGATGTCTTGGGGAGGTGTAAGGAAGCATGTGGGATGGTGCTGGGACTGGTTGGTTGTGGTCAGGGCATGACAAACTAGCTCCCGTCGAGGGCCACCCAGATCAGCAACAGAAGCATAACCTTCATAGTTCCGGAGCAAAGATGATTGTGGTGCTTTACTCAAATTGACCACGTTCTTATAACGGCTAAAGACCAAGCCCAACTTGAGGCGTCTAAGGCACAGCAGATGAGGTAGTGAATCACAAGGGAAAGAAAACAAAACAACATACGCGACCGCATTCAATGACAAGGTGGTGCAAAGAAGACAAGTCGGCCATTCTCAACTTCATGAGCATCAGCAGAAGCAGACGAGTAAGGAAGAAGCTTTGAAGGACTTCGGAAAAAAAATGTAGAGTAATAAGGAAGAAAACAAAGCACGGACGGTGGAACCCAGGGAAGACCAAGATAATGATTCTTCATGCAGTCCGGCTGCAAAACTTCATCCAATACGGTACGATTGGTGGAAGTGGTGGAGGCGACTGACTTGACTATAACAGGCGGACTAACAATAAATGACAAAGGGACATGGTTACAAATTACTTGCTACAGCAAGGAAAAAACTTACCTAGCAGCACCGTCATCTTCATCAGATGAAAAGTCGTCATCACTATTGGGAAGGGGTATATCCAAGGCCGAATCAAACGACCTACATCAAAAAGAATCAGTAGATGAGACAAAGAATGGAATGTGAGAGTCATACAATTTGTTTGTGGTAGAGAAGTCGCCACCAGCTGCATCGGTAGCCTCAGCTACAGGCGAAATAGGAACGGCGCTCCCTGCAGTAGATGGAAAGAGACATTACATAAATTATTCATAATCAGAGGAAAATAGACGGATATTCACTGGTAACAGAATCTTGAGTAGCCACCAAAGGAGCGGTTGTCTCAACGTCCAATGTAGATATAGAGGGTTCTCTGAAATTTGATGAGTAGAAACATAGAGGTCTTGATGGTAAAACAAAGTATACTCACTGGGTACCTCAGGTGGAATATCGGAAAGGTCAGACTCAGAGGCAGACCCAGGTGTTGAATGTTTAGAGTGTTTCTTGGAAGGGCTGCAAATGTAGAAAGAGATTCAGTACCAGAATTGATAAGAATAGAAGAGAGACCTTTCAGCGTTGAGTGACGGTGAGCGTTTCCTAGGGCGAGTTCTGGCCATTATAACAAAGGGGAAAGAGATACAGATAGCAAGACGGTGACACGCCTAAATTTTGGCTAGACATCTATGTTGTGAATTGTGACATTTTCACGTATAGATTCGTATCAAGAGGACTGTAATTGAGACCCGGATTGACAGTCAAAGTCAATACTGAATCAGTCTAATAAGTTGAAGGGACCATATACCCATACTACCACAAGTTGGTTAGTTTACCCATCCCTGATACTACCTACGGATAGCAGTCTACCTGTTTGTCAAGCAGGATTATACCAGACTCGGACTACATCCGAAGGATGACCATTCACGTATGACATACCAAGGGTATTCTTATTGGACCTTACACTGGCAGGAGTTTGGAAGAACTTACTCAAGTGACCATGAACCAAGGATTGACTCGAAATGACTTTCTAGAACTCAGGAATTATCAAATACTCCTTCTAGAACGAGATCATGCATTAATCTAAAGACTGTGATTTAGTCTAATAGACCAATCAAGTTGCATGGTTGAGGAAAATGACTAGAAGAACGATCGAAGTACTGCAAGGCTCCGAAGACATATCAAATGAATGTCAAAGAGTCCTGACGTAGAAAACATTGAAGAATGCAATTAAATGAATACTATGCGTAACTCCCTTGATAGAGTATAGGCACAATGGGTGTCTGTTGAAAGAGAGAAGCAATTAGTTTAATCCAGATGAATCAGATTGATAGGATTAGAATCGAGGAGAGCTGATTTGCCTCCGGACGAGGATGACAAACGATCGAAGTAAGTGTTGAACCGCAATGACAGTTGAACACCATTCGAGTCATTCTCTAAAAACAATTAAATTAAATGAATATTGAAGTACCTGCCTATGTTTGGAGGTATACTAGAATCTTGGAACCAATATGGACCAAATAAGGACATGTAGATTCAAATTAAATGGTATCTGACTGAGTGTAGAAGTTTCCTTGCGGTTCCGAACGTTGATTGTATTAAATTAATTGTACTATGCGACTCTATATTCTGTATGTATAAATAGCGATCCGATGTATCTGGAATACAAGTGATTTTGGGACGACGTTGCAGTGCTAATCCGTAAAAAGGAAAGACACACTCCCGCCAGACTGAAACCTCTTCGCTAGCAGCCATTCGGGCCCGGCACTTGTGAGTATAGGAACATTGTGTTCTGCTCCTTGTGACTGCGAGAAGTATATCCAGTTGTTGGGTATTCTTCGAACTTAGGATCAGTCGTTGGTCTTAAGGGCAAATCACGCTGTGTGGTTGTGCCAGCACATAGTTCTAGCCCTCCGTAGGGGTCTGTGTGTTTCGGTTTTAATTTACTTTGATTCAAACCCCCAATTCTTGATATACCCAAATCAATACAAACCAAAGCACAAATCGTGCTGAATCTACCTTGATCAAAGGAATATATCGAATCCTTAGAACGATTCAAATTGATTGATCAAAGCTTCTTACTTAGCTCTCAAAGCTTTGCGGAACCTTTGCCAACGCTACCCCTTGCTATTAAATAAATTTGATAGCAGTGAACTCGCATATTGTGTATTAGATTGGTTGGTTGGAGTGCCCATTAGATTCCTTCCTTTCTCTTTCACACAAAAACGAGGCAAGCTCGTTAACGGGAACAGGTGAGGAGTCAGTTTTAAATAAATCATTGGCAGAGTCTGACGACAAAGCCAAACAGAGATATATTGAAAGAAAAGAAGAAGGTAACGAAATTGAGTCAAGAAGAACATTGCCAAGTACAGAAGTAATGCTGACAGCTAAACCATAGAAGCATAGAAGAATACCAAAAATGTTCTAGAGCAAGTAAAACCACATTAGACAGGAGGTAGAAGCGGAGTAAATAAAAAGAATAACCAAAATTCATTGCTGAGTGAATATTCAAGTGGCGTATACATATTAGAAGACCTTAGATCCCAAGGTAGTTTGGAGTCCCTGTCAGTCTCGGCGAAAGAATGACACCCACACTTGTAATATTCAAGAGGTGTATGGCGGTGTATGCATATTGGAAGACCTAAGATCCAATGTAGCATGAAGTCAGTGTCGGTTTCAAGAATTCATGTGCAATGTGGGATGAAGGATGTCAAGGTTGTAGAGGATCTGGTGAAACCGAAGAGTGAAAAGCAGCATCTATGAACCAGATATGAATTAGAATTTTACATACAGAGGTAAAGAAAAGAACAAAGAAGTGAGGAAGAGCTGACAGCTGTAAAAGCAAAGCAGCATGTACACCTTCGAAGTTCAAAAATCAAAATCCCGAGGACAAGGAAAACACTTCCAGAGGGACTGGTGAAAGACAACTGTACTGACAGCTGTAAAACCAAAGGAGCAAATATACGTGGTAGGACCAAAGAATCCCGAGGACAGGGAAAATGTTCCAGAGCAAGGGGAAAATTAATCTAGAGCAAGTGGCAAATCTTTCCTTAAGAAAAATGGAAGTGAAATGGAGGACAAAGATCCAAGAGAAGGTCAACTTACTGACAGCTATTAGCAGAAAGCGGTGAATACATGTTAGAAGGACAAAAAATCCGAGGATGAACAAGATATGACAGCTGTAGCACAAAGCGGCAAATACACATTAGAAGGACATAATTTCCGAGGATGAGCAAGATATCCAGCAAGAAGCGAGACAGAACAGCTAAGGGTTCACGATAAGCAAATCAGAAAAGAAATTCCTACCCATCGACTCTACCTACCCGAGAAACCATGGATAGTAAAGGATATGATGAAAATCAAGCGAGTAAGTGAGTGGTAAGTGTGGAATAGCAGTACTATTCACAACATAAATGACAGGGGAAAAGGTTCAAGAACTTGCTGAGCAGAGGTTGCAAAATAAATATGCGCCGTTTCACCTAGCAAATTTAACACTGGTGAGCAAGTGCTTGTTATCAAAACCTAGCTAAAGACATAATATAAACGGTAGGAGCCTGAATGGCAAGCGCATAAGATGATTGCAATGAATATAGGTATACCTGTGAACTGGCGATTGGTTGTTGATGGGGATCGAGGAGTGGAAGAAGTAGTGGTGGCAGTACAGGGGGTGATCGTTGGGATAGATTTGCCACCAATGAATATAGGGGGCGGCAACCTGTAAGTAATATGGGTGATGCAGGTTTATTCCAAAGATTGACTTGACGAAACATGAATAGGAAAAAGAAGGCAACATTTTTGAAGCAAAGTATCGAAATATGCGGCTTTGGAGGGCGTGCATTTGAAGATGCGGTGTTAACAATCGAAGATATTGATACACTATTTAGTAGGCAGGTGAAAGATGAGCAGATGGATCGCACCATTGTTACTGGTCAGTACAAGGAGTGGAGGACAATAAATGTAGGAAATCGGCTCTTCACAGCAAAGAATGCAGCACAGGGACAAGCACAAATTCCTTTTGGAGCAGGAGTGGACGACAAAGGTGATATGGCAAAGATAGGAGGGGGTACACATGTTCATATAGAGGAAAACCGAGTACACTATTTTGAACGCAAGATGGTAGGGGAGGAAGTCAGGTAAGGAAAATTATCGCATCCACTCCAAGTTGTTATCGACCAAACTGCTGGCCAGATTTGACCAAGTACAGCTGGTACTATTCAAGAAGGGTGATATCGTTGAAGTGAAGATGTCTATGATGTTGATAAAGATCATTAACAAGAAAAAGGAGGAACGATACCGCACAGTAGCAGTTTTGAGAAGTATAACTTTGTTCGATGGCACCTTGACAGAGGTGAGCCCTGGTGTCACATAGATATGGGTAGAATGACCTAACGATATATAGGAGGCCCAAAGAATCAATCAAAGGAGATATACAACGGAAACAAGGCAAATCAGAAGGAGGGTGGACTACAAAATGGAAATGGAAGGAAGCAGGCGTATGGATGACTCTTAGTGCACTCAGTAATAAAGATTATACTGGAATTAGGAAGAATCACTGACATAATGATGAAATTCAGATAGATAGCTCCGTCCAAGACTGGTAGCTTGGTGACCAAGCCCTCTAAGAGAATAATCAAAAAGTTTGATTAAAGTTCGCCTGCGGGGCGGAACCTCGATAGAGCAAGACTGGGACCAGTGCAATAGATAGCAAATAAGCAGATCGCAAAAGCATCACACGTATTATGTGTGAAGATGAGGGTCAGAAACAGCCACACAAGGAAAATCTATGGAACTTGAAGTGCATCATTATATTAGAAGACATACGTATGGTAACGAAAACAATCAACAGATTTGGTTAGTGGAAGTAGCCAGTACATTACTAGGATTCAAAGCACGGGGACAAACAATACTAAGAAGAGAGTGAGAACAATAAGACAGAAATGAAACAAGAAACATACTGAGCAAATGCCTCTTCACCTATGGATGTATCAGAAGCAAAAGTAGGGATTAAAGTACGAGTGAGAGGTATGTAAATACCAGGAAACCTCCAAAGAGGAGAAAAACCCATAGCGTGATTACAAAATACAGAGGTGCAGGAATCAATCCAAACAGGATCAGGAGAGGAAGTAACAATCAAAGCAACATTGTCAGTGTTTGGCAAAGGATAAGTGCAGTAATAGAAACGACGGTAGAATGTAATGTATGGTGAACATTTGATTGCATCAAGAATATCAAAATATGGGAGGCGGCCAGTTAACGAGATGCGAATGCAAGCGACATGCATAGCTGGAGAATCCGGGTGGAAGAGGGCAATATCACAGGAATATTGATGAGGCTGACAAAAAAAGTCAGACACCAACACAAAAGAAAGTAATGCACACAAACATAGAGGGGACCATGAACGTAATCATGGATGCAAGATGACAACACATAGTCAAATAAATCCTGATAACTCCTCAGGACTGACGGTCCGGAATCGGAGCAGGAAGGCGGTTGAGGCGACTGGCCAAGGAAGAAAACAATGGGTGATAAAGGACAGGAGGTGGGAGGATGATCAAGAGCAAGATAAAGCGGTCGTCGAATTGAAAGAAGGGAGATGGGTCACACGATGAGTATGTCTGGCAGAGATATCAGTTGAAGACATAAACAAAAACAAAACACGTACAGTCTCAACCGTTGACAGTGCTTAACAATAGCATGGGCCATGTATTCAGTAGCATCATGAGCATTCCATGGTCATCGAAAGCAATACCACAGAGGAAGAGGACCAAGGGCAGGTAAGATGAGCAGTTGGATTGACAAGGATGATGAGCCGTGATGACGACGAAAAAGATGCATATGCAAGATGATCAGCATTGGCATTGAATTTGACAATTGATGAAATAAGAACACGTGAAGACTCCAGTAGGTAAGGAGAAGTGTTGCAGAAAGTTCAAAACGGCAACTGCGATCCTGAAGTACATCAGGGATGGTGATGTGAAGTTGAAAGAAAACGAGGTAAATCCTGGCAGAAGGATTATCGAAGTACAAAACTCGGACTAGCTCTTATTTTTCTGAGAAGATGGGTGAATAACATAGAACGAAGAAAGGGAAAAGGAAAGGCATACAAGAGGAGCTAGTTGAACAGATGCAGAAAGGCACTTGATGTACTCAATACGACGCATGGGGGAAAAGGGGGGAATGTGAGAATGGCGAAAAAAAAAAATAATATTAAATAAGGGATGCATCGAAGGGGAGAGCGTATCGAAAGTAACAATTTTGACGAGTTTCAGTTGAAGGACAGGAAAGCAAGAAGGAGAGAGGAGGAAGGAACGAGAGATGACAATTACGCCAGGATTGTTGCTGACATAAGTAAGACTAAAAAGGGGAAGAAACTCTCACGTCTTAACGCAATCAAGAGGATGGATTTTGCCGCCATAAGAACGACTTCTATAATAGAACTCGTAATGAAATGTAGAGAATGTAGATGCCATACCTCAATTGACTTCCCACGGCAAGATGGCCGAGTGGTTAAGGCGTGTGACTCAAGTTATTTCATTAACTTCCTAATTCTCATGGGCGAATGTCCGCGTGGGTTCAAATCCCACTCTTGTCATTTTTTTGAGCCCTTATGTACGATCTATGATCTGGAGTTGGTTGTGTTTTTTGTTGTTGTTGTAGTTTGCTGTTGTAGTTTTGTTTTAGTTTTGGATATGAAGTTCATAGATAGATAAATAGATAGTAGGTGGTCAGTGGTAGGTGTCCCAGAATAGAACAACTGGTCTGACGCTCGATGGATCCAATGGCTCTAAGCAAGGATGAACGTTGAACTCGAACTTGAAGGTATATTATCCTCTGAAAGTCAACGTATACGTCTTGTAGTAGTCTCATTTCCATCCTACTTCAGAAATTATCAGGAGGGTATTGGATGTACTATGTAGTGACTTCCGTTTATGTTTGATAAACTCCCAGTACATTTGATAAACTCCTAGTACATCCCTCTTTGATATCAGCTGGTTGATTGGACGTTGACCCCCCTCCCTCCCTCCCTTATCGATATCAACCGATAATCGGTTGAACGTTGACCCCCCTCCTCACCGACCCCTCATCGACCCCCTTCCTCATCGGTCCCCTCCATGGCGTCGTTGTTGAAACGATGTACATACTTATCGACCACTATTTCCGACCCGATTTCGACTGGGTTGTCGAAAGATTGAAGGATCATCGGAACCAAATCGATGAAGTACCTTAGAAGGTACTATGTAACCACTAAGTAACCGCTGCGGTTAGAAAGAGACGTGCGTGCGTGAATAAGAAGTGCGTGCGTGAATAAAAGTGAGTGGGTGAATAAAAAGTGAGTGGGTGAAATGAAAAAGTGTAAGTGAGGAGTGCGTCAGTGAATAAGTGAGGCCTCAGAGTTCCAGATAAAACAAACTCACTATACTTCGGCCCACCCCCGCCCTCCGGGACAGTCCACGTTATATCCTGCGACGGGACTTTGATATCACAGAGTTTACAGTGTATGCAGTTTTGTGCGTTGATTACGAGTTTTTTGCCGTTCCAGGATTCGCCGTCGCTGGCTTTGGCTTCACTAACTTCACCTTCACCACTACCGCTGCCTTCACCGCTGCTGCCTTCACCACTACCGCCTTCACCGCCTTCACCTTCAAGGCTGTGCGGAGGTTCCTGTCCAGTAGTAGAGTGGTGATTATCATCATCGACATCGACATCGACGTACTCATACACACCCGCGGGACACGCTCTAGCGAGTAACCCCGCGTACTCGCCGATGTTTATTTGGTGTGGGCTCGGCGGAGGGAGGGGGGGGGAAGTGACTTTAGGGATGAACAGTGTATCTTCCGTGGTTTCCGTCTCCGTGTCTTCGGTTTCCGATTCGGTTTCCGCGGTCCCTTCTTCGTGGATCTCGCTGATCCTAACATCCAATACAGATTCACCACCTCCAAAACCTCCAAAATCGGTGTCGGAGGAGGAGAGAGCAGCAGCCCCTGGTCGACCGAGGACCCTCAGATGTTCTGGTTGGTCTTCTTCGTGGGAAGTACCGGTCAACATGAGTGAAGTAAGGAGGTCCGTGGACAGGGGTGGGTCGAAGGGTGGGTAGGGGATAGGGGTGTGGGCGGTGGATGGATCGGTTCTTAGGGAGTCTAAACTCCTTCCTCCATCCAAACTCTCCCTCCTCTCTTCCTCGTTCTTAGTATGTCTAAACGTCCACGGTGTTCTCCCTTTCAACAACAACGTATCCACGCCAGAGTACAACACACCCCCGAGGACACCGAGACCGCGTTTCGAGAGCACCGACGAGGAGGAGAAGGAGGGGCGTAGGTTTCGGGTTTCGTGCAGCTCGGTGTGGATCCATGAGGAGAGGAAGGAGGTGGTGTAGGGGGATGTATCTATGGGGTCGTTTTCGTTAGCCTGTTGTTGACACCCATCCCAAACACCCTGGCAGCGAGGATCCCCATCCCCATTGCGGTGTGCACGCCTTTGATCTTCGCGACGTTGACGGTGCCGGCGGCGTCCCGATGAGTGCGCCACCCGGGAAGTGCAGAAGGGGGAGCGATTGGAGACCGCCTTCGTTAGTACACGTGCGGCGTATGCGATTCGCGTTGCGGGGGATAACAAACGACGGATATACGGATGATGCTTCATCATTTGAAAATCCCTATACGGGCTCCGATACGGGTTTTCCCAGTCCGCGCCCACGACGAGACCGATAGACAGGAGGTTGGCATCCATGTGGTATACCCACCCCCGCCGTAGGTGTTTAGATCTAGTGGGAAACCGAGAGTGTGGGTTATGGACCCGGGGGTGTATAGGGGGTGGGAGTCGGGGAGTCGCCAGATTTCTTTGAGGCCGAAGCCGTAGGTTTGGGGATCGCTTTCGTTGCGGAGGCGGTATTTGGTGATGAGGGTTTTGGTGAGGGACCCGTGGGCGCCTTCGGCGAAGAGGGTGGTGCGGCACGGAAGAACATTCCGGTTCGTAGGTTGTAGTGGATGAAGGGTGTTTTTGGGATCCGACGTCGTTGGTTAGGATTCCGAGCACTGCTGGTGCACGGGGCGGCGGCGGCGGCGATGATTGTGGTGATTTCGGTATTCCAATCCTCGTCACCTCTCTATCCCACCTCCCCTCCCACCCAACCCACGGACTCTGATACCCTCATCACTAAACACCACACCCGCACCCGCGAACCCCGGATAAATCTCCACCCCATAATACTCTTCCGCGACTCTCCCTAGCCACCTCGTCAACGCACTCAGCGAAATAACGAAATTCCCTTGATTGTTCATCTGCGGGGGGTGGGGGGATGGGATATTTGGATTTTTCGGTTAACCAGAGCATGTGGCTTTGTCCTGCTTTGACACCGAGCGGGGGTTGACCGCAGTTGTAGATCTGTTCGTATTGAGACGGGTCGGGACCTAATAAATCATGGAGAGCTCGTGGTTCGAGGACACAGCCGGAGACGATGTGGGCACCGACTTCGCTGCCTTTTTCGAGTACTACTACACGGAGAGCTGCAGAGGAAATGATTTATTGAGAATATTGCTAAAAATAGGCGGGAACGCACATTGTGACGACCCAGCTTCACGCTCAAGCTGCTTCAACCGTATCGCTGCAGCCAACCCGCAGGCCCAGCTCCTACAATCAACACATCACAGTTGTCTACCGCGCGTGGAACTGTTCTTCTGTTCAGCGCTGCGCTCGGTGAGCTGGAGAATAAACGTCGTTGAAGGCGTGGATTCGATTCATTCTGAATCTCAGACACCTTGTCCGTGTTACAGTAAAGAAAACGAAGACCCGGCTATAGGTTTGTTGGGCGTCTAAATCAATATACGGATCATGTAATGCCGGAAGTGCGGCATTTCATCTGCCTTGGTTATCTTGGCAACTTGATTGCGCAGCACATACATAACGCGTCATGTCGTCAGAGCAACACTGAGCAACCAACCTTGTCGAGTACTACCAAGTACAGTCTCTCGAAATAACATCCCTATTTCTGCTCTATGAGTCGGTTTACACAATATTCAGAAGTGAGCTAGCCATTTAGCTAGTTAAATATTATTGACCTTGTATGATACGATACAGGACTCCACCCGCCTCCAGTAGGACTCCAACGCATCGCCTACGATGCCGACACCCAGCAATACACATTCCGAGACGAGAACGGGAGATTGTACTACTCTGCGTCGGGGGAGTCGTACGGCCACTTGACAAGTGCTGGGGAATGGGAGTGCGGCTCGGGCTAGTGAAGTCCCGATGACTGAACCGAACCAAAACGGTCTCAAACTTCCCCTTCCCCCCAACACTCCCCGCTCGAATCCTTCTACGACATCCTCCCCCCGGAATCAATCGCCTCCGCTGGGTCTACCACGTCTCTCAAGTCTTCTCCTTCCCCTTCTCCCCTTCCTCCTCCTCCTCTCCCACATCCCCTTCTCCTCCCCCTCCTCCGCATCACCGCGTTCCACGCCATCTCCCGTTCCAGGTTCATCGCAGCCGCAAAAACGGTCGACGATCCCCCGGATGCCGCGGATGCAGAGTGTTGTGCAGGGGTTGATGAGGAGGGAGGTGACGGTGGGGAAGAGACGGGGTGAGCAAACACGTACATATCCATCTGGGCATCGAGATCAAGATGGTGGTGGTGATGAGGATGAGGATGACCGGGCTGGGTTGTTAAGAACCCACTCGGTGGTGAGCCGTTCGAGTACGGTGAGGACGAGTCAGTCGTCGGGGGTTACGCTTGTTGAGGAGACGGGGGAGGGGTGTTGATAGTCCACCCGAGAGTGGAAATGGTTTGGGTACATCACCAAACGAGGATGAGGAGGGTGTTTGAGGATGATGAGTCTGTATATACAAGGAGAATAATGTACCAATATGTACAACTCGGATAAAGTAACTGTCGTATGTATGTATGTATGTAAAACCAATATTATACATAAAAGTTGGACACAACATATGTACCAGAAATCCAACTGTCAAAACAAAACAAAAAACTTGCTTTTCTACATTCTACATTATGTATCCAGTCCTCAGGGCCTCAAATACCAAACAGGGACTCATCTTCCTCACCAACGACCTGCTCCTCCTCCTCCCCAGGCGCCTCTACAGCCGTACTCTCCAAAACCCCAACCCCAACCTCCTCAACCTCCTCAACATTCGAAACCACCACCATCCCCGATCCAACTCCACCCTAAACCCATCCCTCTCTCTCTCCAAAAACCTCACCCTCTCCTCCATACCCTTAATCTCCCCCACAAGATGCATATTCGCGTTAACCTGCATCAGCAACTCGTTTGAGATGTGTTTCCGTGCGCATTCTGATGTGTGGAGGTTTTGTTCTGATGTACGGAGTTTGTCTTTTGAGACGTGGAGGTTTTGTTCTGATACGCGGAGGTTTTCTTCTGATGCGTGGAGGTTTTGTTCTGAGACGTGGAGGGTTTCTTCTGATACGCGGAGGTTTTCTTCTGATACGCAGAGTTTGTCTTCTGATGCACAGAGGTTTTGTTCTGATACGCGGAGTTTGTCTTCTAATGCTTTTTTCTCGGTGTCCCCTGTCATCACTACGTGTCGGAGGTGGGTTACCTGTGCGTGAGATTCTTGAAGGTTCTTTGAAAGGGCGGTGTGGGTGTTTTGGAGGTGGGTGAGGTGGGTGAGGTGGGTACGGGACTCGGTTTGGGCATCGTGCATCTGGGATTGGAGTGCGGTGGTTTGGGATTGGAGATAAGTGTTTTGCGCTGTGAGGTCTTTTATGCGTTGTTCTTTCTGTTCAAGTTCTTTGGAAAGCGAGATTATCTTGGTTTCTGTGTGG